TTTGACTCTGCGCTTATTCATCGTGTTCTCTCTTCCTCTTTGCTTGAGTTCCTTGCTGCTGCTGCTGCAGCAGCAGCAGCAGCAGCAAGAGCAGCAGCAGCAGCAGCAGCATGTGCAGGTATTGTTGTGTATGTGTGCAGCTGCTGAGCACGCTAAAGACAAGTGTCTCCGCTCTGTCTCTGTTTCACTCGCGGCCGTGCCGTCAGGCCTTCAGCTGTCTCCTCATGAACATTGCTGTCTCCTGCCACGCTCTGGGCCCCAACTCTCTCTCGCAGCAGCACAAAGTAGAGGTCTGCTGCTGCTGCTGCTGCTGCTGCTGCTGCTGCTGCTGCTGCTGCTGCAGTTGTTGTTGTTTTTGTTGCTGTTTCTGGTGCTGTTGGTGTTGCTGCTGTTTTCGTTGCTGCTGCACGTGATGCTAAGCGTGCAGTGTGCATCTCTGAACTAATCCTTTGTTGCTGTTTCTGCTGCTGCTGCTGCTGCTGCTGCTGCTGCTGTTGCTGCTGCTGCTGTTGCTGCTGCAGCTGTGTGAGTTGATGATGGAGTTGATGGCATCGGAGACAGACCCGCAGCTATTCTATCATTGTGTTGTGGGTGCGGGAACCCTCTTAACTGACGGCGTGACGCTGCAGCAGCTGAAGCAGCAGCTGCAGCAGCTGCAGCAGCTGCAGCAGCTGCTGCCGCCCCTCAACGAACGTGTATACCCGGACGTCCCCCTTGGCGAGGCCACACAAGAGCTTCTTAACCTGATTGCTTGAGCTGCTTGCAACAGCAGCAACAGCAACAGCAGCAGCAGCAGCAGCAGCAGCAGCATGCATGCTGCTGCGCAACTGCGGCAGCCCCATGCATGCATGCATGCATGCATGCATGCATGCAAGACATGTGCAGCCCCAATGCATGCGGCTCCGAGTCTTTGTTTCCGCCGACTCTTTCATCTCGTGTCGGCGACTCTAGCATTTTAACTCTTTTAGCGGGCATCAGCCTGGCCTTGGCTAGCTAGCTAGCTAGCTAGCTAGCTAGCTAGCTAGCTGGCTAGCAAGCAAGCTGGGTGTTGATAGCTAGCTAGCTAGCTAGCCAGCTGGCTGGGTGTGGCTAGCTAGCCAGCCCGGTAGTTAGCTAGCTAGCTGGGTCCTGCATACGATGGCTGAAGGAAGCAGAAGACCTCAGTTTTAATAGAGCCAAGGGGAGGGGATATGTCTTGAAGCAGCGGCTACAGCAGCAGCAGCAGCGGCAGGTAACGGTTGCCGCCAGATAGGCAGCAGCTTTGTCTGCTGCAGTGCTGGAGTTGTTGCTGCAATTGCTGCTTCTGCTGCTGCTGCTGCTGCTACTGCATGCATGCAACGCCACTGCACAAGCATGCAGTGTACGTGCAGCTCCTGCGGCTGCAGCAGCAAGGCATTTAGGGGGACACGCAGCCTCTTTTCGGTTGTTGGCTAAACCCTAAACCCTAAACCCTAAACCCTAATGGTGGTTAGAAGGCAGAGTGCCTCTGCTGTTAACCCTAAATCCTGTGCATGCAAAAGTGCATGCATGCATGCATGCATGCATGCATGCATATTCACGCGTCTCTCAACAGACAGCAAACCCTAAACCCTAAACCCTAGATATTTGCTGCATCCTTCTCTACCTCTCCTCTATCAGAAAGGTTGCGCCTCTTCAGCTAACATACATATAAATATATATATATATATATATATATATATATATATATATATATATATATATGTATATATATATATATATATATATATAGTGGGAGTGTTGATGGCGCTAGATACAAAAATTAAGCCGTTCTGTCACTCTGGTGTTGGGGGGGCTCCTGGCCCCAAAGATGCATGCATGCAGAAGTGCATGCATGCATGCAGAAGTGCATGCATGCATGCACATGGGGCTTGCAGAGGCATCGTTGCTGCGTGTGTGTGGCATCTGCAGCTGCAGGTTCTTTTTTTTTTCTTTGCGAGGAGTGGTCCGGACCACTGGTTACCCTAGGACCACTGGTCACCTTCATGTTTTCTTCTTTTGCATGCACTTATTTATTTAATATCTATCACCGGAAAGATTTACGCCGCATGCGCCTGTCTGCAGGCATGCAGGGGGACCGCCCAGCCCCGCAGTTCATACCAGCAGCTGAGCCTGCAGCACAGCCCACTCACAAGCGGCTAGCTAGCTAGCTAGCCAGCTAGCTACTATAGCTGGCTAGCTACCTAGCCAGCTAGCTGCTATAGCTAGCTAGCTAGCTAGCCAGCTGGCTGGTGTAGCTAGCTAGCTAGCTAGCCAGCTAGCTGCTGTAGCTAGCTAGCTAGCTAGTATAGCTAGCTAGGATGAAGACGTACTGGCAGAGGGGACCTCGGCGTTGGCTAGCTGCTGTCTTCTCTCTTGTCGGTATCTCCGCAGCAGAGCCTGCAACCGCATGCAGCCCCAAACACAGCCGCATGCAGCTTCATTCATTGCTTCTGCTGCTGCTGAGCAGCAGCACGATAAACTCCGGGTGTGTGAATGCGGTGTATATGCCGCTGGCCGGCTCTCTGGCCGTCTGTATGTCTGGCTGTCTGTGGGGCTTTAACAGAAAGAAAAACAAACCCGCATGCATGCATGCATGCATGCATACTTGCATGCATGCATGCATGCATGCATGGCTATGACTAGCGGTGCTAGGATGTTTGCATGGATATGGTGGAGGCCTCAATGCATGCNNATGCATGCATGCATGCGTGCATGCATGGGTATGGCTAGATATATACTTTGCTGCAGCAGCTGTTTCGCACCTTGAGGACCATCATGGCTTCTATCTTTGTGTTGCTGTTGACGGAGAAGGAGACATCATCGCGAAAGATACAGCGAAGGGCCTCTAAGACTTCTAGGCGAGCTAACCAGTGGACAAAGCCTGGGAGAGAGCCTGGGTGTCTAGGGTCACCTTGGTTTGCTGCTGCTGCTGCTGCTGCTGCTGCAGCAGCAAATGCTGCTTCGTCATCCCCACTCAGATTCAATCCAGACTGATCCTCACCCTCATTGCATGCACCCGTGTTGCTGCTGCTGTTGTTGTTGCTGCTGCTGCTGCTGCTCTCCTGGGGGCCCTGACCTGGGGCCCCCATAGATTGCTGTCTGCTGCTGCCAATGCTGTTGCTGCTGCTTAAGGAGACTACGCGGCGCCCAGCCGGACGCTCGAGAGACAAAGTCTCCAGCACCCCCAGGCGTTCGCTGCATGCAGAGAAAAGGAGACAGATACAGAGACAGAAAC